TTTCGTTATCTCCACATCTAACTGATGAGGAATTACGACAAACTCTCCACCCTTATCACTAACGGAAAGTCTTATGGTTTTCAACCTTATCAGGTCTTCCAGAAATCCGAAAATGAACCGCAGGGAAGAATGCCTCATTATCACGCGTGATATAGGGCAGTATATAAAACTGCTTTTCTGATGTGAGGGGCACATTATACTTCCACGTGATTTCTGTGCGGTTGGTCTCTACGTGACATACTCAGTGGAAACCTCATAGAAAGCGGTGAGTGTGCAAAGCTGTGTTCAAAGTGATTGAAATCTTGGTTTGGAGTTTCTTTGTTTGGTTATGGAGGCGTCTGGCCGAGTGAGTTGCTATCAACTTGACCTTTCCAGGCTCTGAAGAAGGCGAAATCCGCCGAAACGTCAGCTTAATCGTGAACAAAGAATAGTAACACCTCGCGTTTGCTCAACAAAAATACGAAGAAAACCACTTGATCAATGCCGAGGTTAATAGAAAGTCGGTCGTGGCAGTTACTGAAAGATTAGTGTCTCCCAAATAAGACAAATGTATCTAGGAGAACAAGAAACCTCCACAAAATAGCACAACTCAAAAACATAAAACAACATTAGCTTCAACCGAAATTGTGGAGGAACAAAGTTTGACTAGATACGAAATGCGGAGAGCAGCGTAGTAGTCGTGTCGTTGGTTACGAACACAGTTCTGGCTCGACCTCACGCCCGGCTCACTAAGCCTCTCATTCATCCAGAGTTGTGGTTAAGTAGTAACATTGCAAAAGGGGCAAAAGAAAAGCGATATCATGAGTAAATTTCCTTTACAGAGGAAACATACGTCGTCAAAATGTTCTTAAGCGTTGTTCACATAGAAAGCTTTTAGGGCAGCCTAGTCGCCCTCATATAAAGACGCTGGCAAAAAAGCCAAACACACTGGATTGCTTTTTATGAACTCCTTATATAACGTGAAAATAAACAAGTAGCTGACTCACTTCAAAGAAACGGGCGAGACAAATGATCAGCGTGAATTCTTGGAGCTTCGAAAGACGCGAACCCTTTCGGTCAGCGCTAAGACAGAATATTTCATTGTCAATAAGAAGTTGCAGATCATTATTTTTGATCAAGGCTGGTCGGTTTCTCCCATGACTAGACAGCCGTACATGCTTCGAAACCTGAAATACGTAGATTCCCGTGGAAAGTTTCAAAAACGGACTGAAAATAGAACAGTCCCCACGATTTACTTAAGGCCTCGGTTGCACATGTTAAAATGTGAAGGTTCTACTGAAACGTTTGATAAACGGACCGAAGATAAGACGATCCTCATGACCTACTTGAATTAAGGCCTCGGTTACACATGTTGGAAAAGCAAGACCCAAAGATGTTGGGATTGGTCCAGCATGATGATGCGGTACGCCACGACGCATAGCTCTCTGAACCTGTACGTTCTCATTTCTAAGAACGGGAAAATTCGAAAAGTAGATGAAAACCAGAACACATCGATGGTTTCGCTAAAATTCCCGGATCTCAAACTGTTCACGAAAAGCGATTGCGCGCGGCTGCGTCGCGATCACCTGGCCGTAGAGCATTCTAACCGGATTGACTGATCGCATTCTTGCTATGGACTGAGAAGAATTTCATTCGATCGTTCTGCTTCAGTCTCTTCAGACTAACCCCTCTGATACTTCATTACTTGTATTTGTAGGTAAGAGTCCTGTAAGGGACTATTCATCAGCAAAAATCATCGAGTTCTAGACACATCGACATGACCTTCCGTTTTGTTACGGAACCCTCGAAAAGCCTTTATCTAGGAATTTTACAACCATTCACATCCGTGTGGCGATGACTAATCATCATAGGTAGTCTTTTTTTCCTCTCGATACGGATGAAGTGTAGAATCCATGCCTCTCCGGAACAGCAGACTAATTTTCTCTTAAGTAGGATATAAATCAAGAATTGAAACACTGCCGTTAGGGAAATAACGTGCTCTAACTTCATGTCATTTCGCAACGAGCGTCTCCTCGAGAGGAGTTTCTCAGAAGTCTCCACCGTGTACACCTCATTTTCTTCTACAAGACGCCAAAAAACGAACTCTAACCCTCATTTTATATGTCTCGTGTAGTGACGTTCCTCGAAAAAGCGGATTTCGTATCGTTTCAAAACGACTATGCTTACTGGAAGTTCCTGGGAAATTTGTACGGATCAGTTCTTTTGCTTTTCATCTCGATAGACCGATTTTTAAGATCTTATTTAGGCGTCCATCTTAATGCATTGTGCGCAATGCGCACAAATCTTATTGATTTCAGTTTGTTTGAGACCCTAAGTCACTTATTTTTTGTGGAGTAACCTGCCGGTATAGCATTTGCTCTTTCCCTTTTAGAAGGATTTTCGTGGAACTGAGAAGTTTTTGCTCGTTCGTACTCTTCAGTCATAGCAGTTCGTTCTATTACCATCAAATCTTACGCTGGGCCTAGTTGTTCCCTCGAAAGCTGTTTGGTTACTGTTTATTAGTTGTTACACATAAAGTTATTTGATCTTCTTACTGTGAGTTTTATATTGTAATATAAAGTGATGTGATGGATTACTTCTTTACAAAGCCTTTTTCATGTCTGGGTAGTTCTGGATCATGATGTGATATGAAAGTGTGAACCCTGGGCCCATTCTGTTAGTACTGTTAGTCTTTAGTGGTGATAAATGACATGTATATATCTCCTTAATACATTTTTTGCCTTTGACTTTTGCTACTAGTGGTAATTCCTTTGCTTAGCAGCGTAAAGTTTTTGTTTGGGAACGCATTCATCGATGATTAATAGCGATTTTCCTATTTTTCCCACTATGTTTAGTCGATGTCGGAACCGGATTCCCGGCTACCGACAAGTGGGAGAATCCCATCAGGAACCACTTCTGTTGGTGCACTTCCTCCGTTGACGTTACCTCCACCTCGCCTCGATCCCCTTGCAGGAATATCTTCTGTGCATCACAGTTATGCTTCTAGTTTGAGCAGTCAGGTTAGCATTTTTTCGTTTTACTTTCTGCAAAACTGTGTATTAAAAGTGTTTCAGTACTTGATATGAAATTAAAGTGCTGTAAAACATGGAAGACTACACTGATAGAAGGAAGTGCTTCATCATTGCTTCATTGTGAAGCATTAATACCCTTCGAAATGTTAAGAATATTATGGTACTAGACGGGAGCGTTAAAGAATGTAAGATGTAGTACTTGTAAAATGTTTATTCGTACTTATTTTTGTAAGAATGTAGGTCAGCGTTCATCCCATAGTGACTTTAGGTGATGGGTTGAGCGTCGGATTTTCTGGGTATCTCCCGATAGAATAGTAAAAGAAGAATAGAATATAGAAAGTATTAAAAGTACCAAGTAGCAAATAGTATCAGCAGTAGCAGTTGTTCGTTTTTGTACTGCATTCCTTACTTCATATCTTCATTAAACATGAAATCCACTATATAAGAGAAATGGAAGGTAGTCCTTTACTCGCTACATATATGTCATTATAAGACATTAAGCAGAATAACTGTCTCAATTAATCCATAAAGCTAAGGTTCCATTTAGGACAAAGGAAGACAGAGTTAATACAGTTTAACACACAAGAAAAAGTTAAAGGCAGATCAGTCATCAGGAGTGCTTCAGTCATCTGAAGAAGGTGACAAGAATAAGAGCGGAGAAAATTGTTAACTTAATAGGCTTGATTTGTTCATCTTATTTAAGATGAAAGATCTACAACTTTTTCCAGTGTTTTAGTTTGCCAAATGATTTAATATGTTCTGTTTATGCCGTTCTTTGTAAGTGTGAAACCATTAGGTGCCTTTTATCCTACAGTCTAATTGTTTAAATCTTAGGTGATGTCCTCACCTATACCACAGTCATCTCCCGCGTCCACTCAGTCTCCACTTAATCAGCAAATGCTTTCACCGCAGCAAAAGACCCAGTCTGGTAGGTTTATTAAATCGTATTTCGTTTTATTACCGATCATTATTGGTTTCTGAGAGACGTTTAGTGTTTTCGTTCTATCGTGCTTTATTTCAAGTCGTTTTGTCGAGTGGGCATGTTCCACAACAACAACAACAACCATTGCAAGACTTACGACGGCAGAGCACTGGGGTCTTACATTCACAAGAACAAATCCGCGGACAGTTCGCGCACACAGTGACAACAGTACCTTCTAACAAACGACCACACGAAATGGGTCGTCAAATCCAAAGTTTGTTTCTCTGTTCATATATAGCGTAGATTTCTGCCTTTAGACGTTAATTTTTGCTGAAAACATCTGCAGTGTGTTCTTTTTACGTTATAGGTTTTCTTTTTTGAGAAACAAGTAGGCAGATACATGTTTTTGTTGAAAGCATACTGTGTGCTTCCTTTTAGCATTCATACCGAGCATTCAGAAGGACAGCAATTTTTCCAAAAGTAGTCTAACCATAGTGAGGTTGAGATATTTACTAAACTCCGGACCGCAGGTGTATGCGGTGAGTGAGGAAAGCGCTATTACCCTTTCCGGAGGCTATCGTGTTCTTCACAACGCCATAAGGGCCCTTCTATTCGCCTGTCTTTCAGCTAGTTTTGTATCTACTAGTGCCATCAGGAATCAGCCGTCAATGGGACAACGCTAAAGTTTGAAGAATTTTGGAATTTTATTTCTCAAATGTGCTATCCTTCCGTTATGACCATTTACTTTTGTGATTCGGTGTTTTCATTAGCGGTAGTGGGCGAGCAAGAAGTCTTCGAACTTAGATTTGTAAGGTTTAGGTGTGCCAAATTCACCAGCGTCGTTAGCAATTTCAACTCCGCCACAGTCCGTACAGGTTTGTTCGAAAAGTTGTTTTCTTTTTTGCAAGTTTGTCATTGGGCACATTCATTTGACGTGAAGCTTCAGACCACATACATATATGTGTATGTACTTACTCACTTGGTACTTGAACGGCCCATCTTTACTGGTTGTGCAGGCCCCATCATAATCACCATTATTCGGAGACTTGCTGATCAAGCCATTGTGGTTCCCTGGAGTTAAAAGGTTATCCTAGCCAAAGTTTGCTCCAGGTCTTTACCGCCGCGTGCAGTCGCAGCCCTCGTGGATCAGGGGGAGATTTGCCACCGTACGACGTTGACGCCAGGAGGGTGGTGGTTCCTAGTATTAGTTTGCTCTTAGCTAGGTTTTCTGATGGTAACTTTCGTGTATACGTGTATATTTGTGCGTATATATATGTACCTATATGTATATGCTTATGTACATGTATGCATAGTATGTATATGTACATGTACATGCGTATGTAATATACATACGTGTACATATAGTATGTAGATACACACAGCTATATATGTACGTACTGAGTGTTTCTTTCCTAGTTTGAGCACTTTAAATGTGTTCATTGGATGATTCGAGTGGTGCACTAGAATTTCTTAACTTAGTTGCAGTAGATTCTTCATGTGCGTAGAGTTCTATCTGATTTCTGCTTCGTTCATATCTATATATTTAAGGTATAGTTCACATCCCAAGCTGACTGCTCACGTCCAATATAAAGTTCTTCAATTTAATGCAAAATTATTGGGACATATAGAATTTTCTGGTGGATCTTTTGATGTGAAATAAATACCTTTGAACTACTCCAAATAAAGATAACTGTTCCTTTTTAAAGAGAGTCTAATAAGGATGTAAAAACGAGTGTGTGGAGACATTATTAAAATTTAACTGATTGAAATCCATAGGCAAACTTTAGTTTCGTTTATTCAGATGCGACACAGTAGCTTGGATGCTCAACCCTCACCCGGTTCAAGCAGTGTTGGTAATCCTTCACCATCATACTCGAACCATTCATCGCCATCCGTTGTTCAATTGCATAATGGACATGGACCTCCAGTTCGTAATACTACCTCAACGATAAAGATTTTCGGCGATTACTTTTGAAAATGTCACGTTTTTTTAAAACTTGCAGAGTTCTTATGTGCAAAGTTCAACGATGCCTACCCATGGCGGGCAATCTTCAGCGCGCTTTTCTTCTTTACCGACTCAGGAACACATACAACACCATATACCCATAAGTTCTTTGCCGTCTAGTTCAACGAAACAAGTTTTCCAGGTTGTTTCTCCTTGCTTCTTTATCGTACTAATTTCGGAGTGTAGAGCCATCTTCCCGTACAAGAAATATTTTATGTTTAGCATGACACCCAAACGCGATCCATTGGTGGGCAGCCTATACCGCCACCCGTAACACCTATGTCTCTCCAGCAGGTGGATTTCTCATGTTTCTTCCTCATTCCATTAATTTTACGCATTTTTTCACGGGAAATCTATTTTATTCCAGCGAAATTTACCAGTCGCAAATCAGTTGCAACAGTCTCAAGCTACACATCACCCCTCGTTACTTCAGCAGCAGTTATCTGTTCGCCCTTCACGAGTACGTCTTTTGTATAGTGA